CCAGAGACGTAACAATACGTACAAAGGTATATATCCGCCTGGAAATTCTAGAACCACGAAATGAACACATCAATGTGAGTGAGCAGAAGAATATTTTGCGTCTTTTCAAATGCGATCAAATCTAACTACAAAAATTAAGGTTGCTGTAGCTTTATCAAATTGCGATTATGAGTAAGCCATTATGTTTGATGTATTTACTGTTCAAGCTATTTGGTTGTATCAAATTAGTATCAGGAATGTATATTTTCTGAATGATTGAATATTTGAATTCTTCATTATTAATTTCAGAACATATTAAAAAGTAGTTTATATCTTACGTATTTTGATTATAATTGGCTTTTTAGTGAAGTTAACGTATGCAGTATAAGTTTTATTTCAATCAAGTCAGAAACAGTAATACCTAATTCTGAACATACAGTTCAGTTAACGTAACTCTCAATTTCACTATGTATGAAGTTTGACATTTTACAATAACTCCAGGAAAACTAGCTTCATTTTAAGAATTTGGATAATATTCTAATTGAATATGCAGGTTCGCAATACCATTGTAACCTATCATAAGCAAAATATTACTTTTGGTTAAAACGTGTAGAAAAGTTTAAATTTCAATCACCGTTATGCCTTTAAAACGACCTGTATATAATATATTATGATGTTTTAGCGTGATCAATATATTGCCTCTAGAGGGCAGTATCGAATAGGCTGCAGTAGTTTATTACGTATCGTTTTATCGAAAAGGAGATCAACTGAAAGTTGCACCGAGAAGTGATAATTTTAAACTAAAGTCAGAACGTTGTCAAGGAAGTTCTTATTTTAACCATATACGATAATTATTATCTTACGTAAGTTTGAAAATATAATGGTTTGCTTTGTTAAACTGATATTGATTACGCAGATTAACCTACAACTAGAAGTGGAACTACCACAGTACAGATACATTGTTTGGCATTCTCCCAGCCGTATTTAATTTTTAAAAACTTAAAAAAGTCGAAACAAAAAGTATAACTTAAACAAGGTCTAGAGACTAGTACTACTAGTAGTAAAGTGACATATTTGACTGTTCCTTTGAAATTATTATTTGTACTGTAACTAGGCAGGGAAGAGTGGAAATTGTAATGGTGATTCTTATTAAATGTAAATCTACACTTTAAATTTAATCTTTAAATGTTTTAACTTTAACAGTTTTAAGTTTAAGCCTTATGGATAATCGAAAACTCGGGGTAATAACTAGTATTACTGTTAGTAAATAGTGGTAAATATTCTCATAGCCTTACTCTTAAAATAAAGTTATATTATAACTGATTGCATTTTAAAATTTTATCATATAACACACATGATTAAAGTTAAAGTCAACATTTTTTATGATGCCTTAACATTCTACATGTATATGCTTATTTTAAAATAAACACTGAATATTAAGCTTCAATTAAAAAAGAAATATATAGATCTCTAGTTTGTAACAGTCCATTTCTCAATGTGCAGCTATAAATCGGCTCACGTTGAATGGAACGTATACAAATATCAATTACTTTATTTTGGTCATACCAAACTTTTCATTTCATCTGGACCAAATGGTTATTGAGATTTGTACTGGAGTCTGTTTTTAGCTACATTTTGGATAAGGTGATAATGTAATTTAAATGAGGAATAGGAAACTGTTTGGTTGCATATTATACATGGATGTCTCTTAACCTTAATGCTCTAGCTCAGTAGTTCTCAATGTTGGCCATGCCATGTTTCTAAGGGGTCACAAGTGATTAATGGAAAATTAGGGGGCCACAGTAAATTTTGATTGGGCCACCAAAACTTCACTGCCTGAATAACATATTTAAAATTGAATCAAAGGTTCCCTTCTCCCCATATCCCCCACAGCTCAGAAGTCAAAATGTAACAATCAAAATGTTTGTCTGGTATCTGTGAATGTTTTAGACTGATTCTCAAGAGTAGCAGTGATATAACAGCCCAAGCTAGATTTAAACGTGACAAACATTATTTCTGGATAAGTAGTGAAATAGCTAATAAGTTTCCACAGCTCTAGGTGAAGGCAAAGTTGTATTTTATCGCTTTTCCAACATCTTATCTGGTTTTAGTTAGGAGACTTATTTGCTATCAAAAATACATAACCGCCTTCATGTTGTGAAGATAGGTAATCTTCGCTTATCATTGACCACACTGCAACCGGACATTCAAAAACTTTCAAGTGTTCATCAGGCCCAAGGATCACACTCAATAAAATGTCAGTGAGTAATAGAATATTTTTTACTTGTATAAGTAAACAGTATGTTATAAACAAAATATTTAAAAACAATACAATATTGTAAAAATAATATAAATATATTATAAATCAACAGTGTGGAAATAAAGCAACTTTTTGCCTAAGTAACAGCATCTACGAAGGGTGGGGCCACAGAGATAAATCAAACTGAAAAGGTAGCCACGAGCAAAAAAAAAGTTGAGAAACACTGCTCTAGCTAATACTATTAGTAATAGATGCTAGTGTGGTGTTACACGTAAGGTTGAATATCAGTAAGTATGGCAGCTTGTTTTACATGTATATCCATAACACCATTTTTAATGTTATAGATCAGGTTGATTTAGTATGTTTGCATGTTCCTCATGTACATCTATAAATTACACAATTTTTGATCTTGTAGATCAAGTTGAGTAAGTATGTTTGAGTGTTCTAAGTATACATCTATAAAATCTACCATTTTTAATGTTATAGATCAGGTTGATTTAGTATGTTTGCATGTTCTTCATGTACATCTATAAATCACACAATTTTTGATCTTGTAGATGAAGTTGAGTAAGTATGTTTGAGTGTTCTACATATACATCTATAAACCCTACCATTTTTAATGTTATAACTGATTGATCAGGTTAAATAAGTGTACATGTATGTCTTTAAACCACACCATTTTAATGTTATGACTCTGAGTGATCTGGTTTAGCTTATGGGAAGTTTCATTTTGATATGTCATCTTTCATAAAGTTAATTTTTATGAATAAGATAATCATGAAAGAAAGTTGACAAACTACAAAGTATAGTATACTGCCATTGATATTTTGTTTCAAGTGTTGTTATGAATTCCCATAATATATATCTTGAAAGAGTTTTTAATCATTTTTATTCTGACAGTGCATTCTGGTGTAGATGGCCATGTTGCTTTGTGCTAATAACCTCCAAACTGTGCATTCTATTTTTATACACCAATTTTGCTTTTGTTTTGTGTATATTGCATACTCTTACTTAGATTAGCATATTAAATTATCAACATTATTCATTTGATTATTTTGTAGTTCTGATCTGTATGGGTAGCTTGTTTTGTGAACAAGTTGCTAATGATTTATAAAATGGATTCTCTATATGGTATCTCTATGTAATGTCAACAATTGAAATAAACCATAGTTTTTGATTTCATGGTAGTAAACTTTTAGTTTCCAAGCATTTCTTGTGTTTTATACTTGAGGAAGGGTTTCTTTTAAGTTAAGTAGTGGTATTTCTTTTATCAAAACTGTATTGCTAAGAATGAAGAGATGTAATAAGTACACAAACCAGACTGTTAAACATATACATGTGCATTCCCTGAAAAATATTTTTACAAAATGGATTCTCAAAAATGATTCTTCACTGTCAAACAGTGACTGAAGAAACAGAAGTCATGAAGCAAGTTTTCTATCATGTTGATAATAATTGCTTGTAATATTTTGGTTTCATTGCTTTTCTTTTAGTTTTCTGTAATTTTAATAGGAGTATATATTGTGTGTAAATACATTTGAAATATCACAATCAATCTAAAAACATTTATACATATAGAGATTTTAATACATAATTTAAATTTTCAAATATAAACTATTTTTGTTCAATTTTTAGATAAATGTATTGTTTTCTAAACATAGTTTACATTTATGAATACAAAAACTTGAACTTCTGAAGTTGTGAAATTCAGAAGCACTTGTCCATTGATTAACATAATAATAATTTCATGCAGTTATTTCAAGTTGACCTGTTTTTTGTTATCCAAACCAACTTTTATGCACAACAACAGGTTTAGTAAGTAGGCCAATTTAGACAACTAGTTGTATAAACATTCAAATTGAGGCCTTTTTGTCACATACTTTTAAAAGTTGATCACTGAAAGATGTGATAAGCTCCATACTATAATATATTAATAAACAAATATAAATTACATTGCTAACTTTTGTTCTAAGTGTCTGACTATAGATGTTGAACACAAACAAACTTAGAACAGTTAAGCTCGTTGTCATTCTTCAAAGATGTTTATAATGTAAAACTTTTCAAGGTCTTCATGGAATATGTCCCTGGAACAAAAACTTTTGTCCTTGGTTCACATGAGTAACTATCACATGGTGTCATATGACTAAGTCAGTAGAGGAGGTGTAAATATCTAGTGTAAACTAAGTCAAGAAAATGTGTATAACTTGATAATTCCAGTAAGCTTCCTGAATTAGAGACTTGCCAGTTTAGTGTATCATTATGTAGTTAAAATATTATTATTATTTATTATTGATGTTGGATTGGTTAAGTAGCTTTTTAGATTGAACGTCAGAAATTTTTTATTAAATTTTTGATAATGAATGTTTGTGACCCACGGTATTCTGAGCCACTAGGATTAATTGCTAAAATTTGTTTTGGGTGCAAGTACAAGGTAAAAGTAACTTCTTTCATAATGCTGATTTCAGTATGTACTTAAGATACATTTCTTCAATACATAATTACATATTGGATATCTACTGTAGATTGAGAATAATCATCTACTATTTTTTAGTCCACAAACTCATAGTTACTGTGTATTAGAATATTTCATTTACATATATTCAAGATTCATGAATGAAATATCCAGCTCATTATTATACACGTATATTTCAGCAACTTTGTAAACACACTTTTCTCCTACATTTAATGAATATCATACACCAAACATAAGGTTAATAATAGCTTCTCAGATTTGTTATTTTAATTTAGAGTGGGTTTGAGTCTGAATATGGTGTTAGTTTCTTAAGTTTATTTTGGTTAGTAGCAATAATATCAAAATACTGCAGCCTGATTGGGCAAAAATACAGTTACTGTTCACCAGTTGCTGTGCTATTTGTTTGTGCTTGATTTTGCATATTTGTTAACTTGGGTTTGAAGCTACCTGGCAACATAGGCACAAATGTTGGGGAAAGGACATGTATATGTATGAAGTCCTTTGGATCGTGTGTTGCCGGTTATGTTGATGAACAATTGCACATTAACCTTTTGAAATCTTATCATGTTTATATATGAAAAAGTGTTTAAGCAAAAATAAGTAGAAAAATTAGCCTGACTTACAACCTAGAAATGAGCCTAAAGATATTATTACATATTAGGACAGGAAAATAGGATTTCTTGAATATAGAATGACTAATGACATTACAAGTTTTGTAACCCTAATAATGGGGCACCCAACACCTGCTAGAGTATAGGAATATTAGTACATGATCATGTATCATGGGGAACCAACGTCTACTAGAGTATAGGAGTGTTAGTACTTGATCCTGTATCATTGTTATCCAATGCCTGTTTGGGTGTAGAGTGTTAGTACATGATCCCATGTATCATGGGCACCCAACACCTACTAGAGTATAGGAGTGTTAGTACTTGATCCTGTGTCATGGGCACCCAACATCTACTAGAGTATAAAAGTGTTAGTATTTATCCTGTATCATTGTTATCCAATGCCTGTTTGGGTGTAGAGTGTTATTACATGATCATGTATCATGGGGAACCAACGTCTACTAGAGTTTAGGAGTGTTAGTACTTGATCCTATATCATTGTTATCCAATGCCTGTTTGGGTGTAGAGTGTTAGTACATGATCCCATGTATCAGTGGGAATCTAATGCTTCTTCTCAGCCTGGAAAGTTTTGTAGATCTATGTGATGTTATTTTCCATAAGAGACTTGAATATGTTGTTACTAGATATTGTCATTTTGTTTGAGGGATCAGGTGTATATTAAGATTTATTTTATTCACTCCTCAGTTATCTCCAGTGGTTGTGAATATCTTTTTTACTTATTAATCTAGTAATGTTGCTTAATATTGTTCCAAAGTGGGTTCCTATGTTTTTCTGTAAAATGTACTCTAAATTGTTTTCTTTCATCTTTAGCAAACATTTCTTGCATATTTGTCTTTGTGTTGACATATTCAACTGATTAGCAGAATCTCACTCAGTAAACACTAGAGTATCTGAGATAATTTGTGATTGTTTTGAGAAAAACAAGTGGTTATACAGAAGTTCTAGATAGGATGTCATGATGGTCAGCTGTCTAAACACTATAAATGATGGATTTTTGTTTGGTATCTCAGATTCTCACAACGTGTGGAAGTCTATACCATGGATCCTACTGATAATAATGCTGCACACAATGGACATTCAGAAGAAAGTGGCAATAGTAAGATTTCGCCAAATATTCCAGTAAAGAAGTTTTATAGAGAACCTTACCATAGGTAAGTGTTTCTGTTTCTTCTGTTAATCAGGCTTGTCAGTTATCAAGATAGACATGGGTTTAATACTTTGAAATTAAAGTAACTGCAATTTTCACAATCAGTTGGTATGTATGTCTATTCTCTTGAGTAGTGTATTTCTTATGTAAATAATTTACTGTTTTGTCATTTGGTAAACAGTTATTTAGAATTGTATTAAACCACAATTTACTATTGGTGTTTAGCAGCTCATTCAAATTTGAATTTCACCTGAACTTAAACTGAGCTTCAACTGCTGTAACTAGAAGCAAATGTTTACAAACCTGAACTTGTTGGGTATGTTTTTGTTAAAACCAAATGTTGTGAACCTGAACTCGTTGGGTATGTTTTTATTAAAACCAAATGCTGTGAACCTGAACTCGTTGGGTATGTTTTTATTAAAACCAAATGCTGTGAACCTGAACTCGTTGGCAATGTTTTTGTTAAAACCAAATGCTGTGAACCTGAACTCATTGGCTATGTTTTTGTTAAAACCAAATGTTGTGAACCTGAACTCGTTGGGTATGTTTTTGTTAAAACCAAATGTTGTGAACCTGAACTTGTTGGGTATGTTTTTTGTTAAAACCAAATACTATGAACTTAAACTGAGCTTCAACTGCTGTAACTAGAAGCAAATGTTTACAAACCTGAACTTGTTGGGTATGTTTTTGTTAAAACCAAATGTTGTGAACCTGAACTTGTTGGGTATGTTTTTTGTTAAAACCAAATACTATGAACTTAAACTTGTTGCATATGTTTTGGTGTTAAGTTAGACATTATTTTTTCACAAAATTGAAGCATTCTGAAATGAATATTTTTAGATATTGTAAAGCTGTCCATGTTCAGAAAGAAACTCCCAGTTACATTATTTTGATCAAAATAAATCTTGTCTCTTTTTTAGTACATTGCAAACTTTTTATTGTAGGGTGTTTGTGAATAGAAGTCTCAGTTTGGAAAAAATCAAATTCTTTGGCTTTGATATGGATTACACTTTAGCAGGTATGTACAGTAACAACAGATAAATACTTTTTCTACCAAATGAAAACTAAAAATAATATATATATATATATATAAAGGAACATTTGTTGACACCATATTGATAACATGGTGAGTAAATATAAAGTTGGTTTACTTGTACTGATTTCCTAAAAGCAGTTTTAGTGTAATAGGATTTTAGAACAATATATTTTTACAAGATTGCTCGAAGCTCTGATCATTTTATTAATATGAAGTGTGAGTTACAAGTTTCATTATTTTTTAAACCATTTTCAAATATGTATGCAACTATTCTTTTGTTACAGAAGAGCTTCAATTTCGTGCTCCTTTGTTTTGTTCTTTCTAAACAATGGTAGTATCATAATATATTAACAGTATCTTGGGTGAAGATAAAGCTAAGTTTTGTATATTTTTCCTGATATAGAATACGTTTCACCAGGTTATGAAGCTTTAGGCTTTAAGCTCGTTGTGGACAGACTCGTTTCCATTGGTTATCCTCCTGAAATACAAGATTTTGAATATGATCCTTCTTTTCCTATTCGGTATTTGGCCTATATGTATTCTTTTTTGAATTATAAGTTAAAAAATTATTTATTTTTAGTTATATCTGTTAATGTTCATAAATGCATCTTAGCACACACTACTGAGAAAAATTAGTTCAGAACTGCTAAATTGTTATTTCATCAACAGAGCTTTTTTTTGTATAACTTAATTTTTATCATTACAGCTTCTCATATGTAATGGCTAGAAATCAAATGTTATTAGGGTAAAAGACTTTAAAGGGTAAAAAATTAACTTTATGTTAATTGAATCATAGTTTCCTTGTTATATGCATAAGTTTGTCTGTTTGTAAAGCATTATGAAAGTTTTGTTAAAAATCAGATAACATTTCTAAATGTATGCATAACATTGGCACACACCATTACAAAACATAATCAGAATATTAATCTATTTTCTCATTTTTGTGGATGTATTTCATACTTAAATTTATAACGTGCTTTATAAGATATATTTCTAAAGTTTTTGGTACCATGTTATTTATCTAAACACGTACAGTATAAATTAACCCTTTCCCTACCATTGTCCTTTATATTAATGTTACTAATGTACTTAGTAGTAACAGAAATAATAAGATTTGTTCTGATATGATCTTTTTCATTGTAAAGTTCTATCAAAACATTAGTACTTGAGTTGTGGGGCAAAAAAATAGGTTTTTTAATCTACCACTTCTCATTTTCCTGCTCAGTTATAAAATTCAAAGTGAATTAGTCATTATTTGCTGGAACTTTTTCCAATTATAGCACAAGCATGTAAAAATAGGGACACTTTATGATAAGCAGTCAACCAAAATCTAAGAATTGTGTGACATCATAAGATAATCATACCAAAAACTATCTGTTATTGGTGTGAATACTATTGAAAACGTAGATATATGGTAGTGGAAATAATTATGGAAAACACATGTGATGTACATATAGGAAGCACAATACAAATGGTAGCAATTGGAGGGTGAATTAAAGGTACAAAACATGATCGTAGAAAATATAAAACACAAGTGATTGAATTGTACAATGCACCAAACTACATTTGAGCACAGCAAATTACATGTTTTCATACTGCTATTCAGTTTATCAGTGCATAATTTAGGAATGTTATTCAAAATATCTTGTATTATTCTTCACAATTACTGGTCACCTTTTGAAGTTTTTTTGGTCACTGTTTTTATTTAGGCATCAAGAATGTTCTTTTAAACTTTGGGTACATTAAGCCATGGTTATGAGTATACCTTTGGCCTCTTTACTGTCAAGTTGTAGTTTCACCATGTTTCTGAATGTTTGGAACCATTGTAATTCTGAAAGATGGATTTTTTTCCTAGACCATTGAACCATTATCTGAGATGTAGCCCAAAATTTGTACTAATCTCCACTTTACTCACTATAAAAGTTATGTTGACTGTGACATCATTATTCTCTCTGTTAATGGCCATTTTAAATTGGAAACATTGTTAAAGAGTACATCTCCAGCATCATTCATTCTACTATTTATGGTCCATTGTTCATTTCAACCTTTCAGTCTGTTTCTATTTTCTCAGTAGTAGTATTTCAAGCAGTTACAAAAACCACTACATACTAATGTGTCTCTCATTGTTCAAGGCTGTATTTACAGCAAGGTCAAGATTTCCTCATCTATTTCAGAAATAAAATATCCCAAAATGGTTAACATCACTTGTCGAAAGATTTGGTTTTTCTGATTCATTAACTTTTATCGCCTTCAGCTCCTTTTGAACTTTGAGTCTTGCTACATTTGCTCGTGGAGTATTCCTGATAGCCAAAACTTTATTTCTGTAGCTTGTCTTGCAATATTTCAATTTTGGGAACCATGACTGAACTTATGTTATCACTACTGGGGATAGTGTTATTTCTATAGGCTTTATATTAGTGTTGCACTTTCCAGTGGGTTGGATGACAACCAGCTACATTTTCATATGGTAAAGGTGTCATTCTCATAGTACTTATTTGCTTTTATAATCTTTTTCTTCTTGAATTCCTTGGTTATTTCTAATGCTGTAAATTCTTGTTGACTTTACATTTTTTGTAAGCTATTTAACAAATATTAGTCAACCAACAACAAATCAACTTCTTGACTTACAAACTTGTTAGATTATTTGTAAAGAAAACATTGTCTGTAATATTAGAAAACACACCAAAACATTGATATGTGTAGGCTATTGTTTAGTATATGATAAAATATGCTACTACAGAGAACATATTGAAACATCCAAAGATGTAGATTCATCTTTAGTATGTGCAAACAGAGACAGTTCTGGGGAATAAATCAAACTGTTAGAAAGTGTGGATCTCTAGTAGTGTGTGTGTTTAGAAACCGTGCAGATTCATCCTGTATGCATTAACTACAATTGATATAGGTTTTTTTTAGATAGTTTAATTTAAACAAAATACTTTTATCATTAGGAAGTATGATTTGTTTAGTTTTCAGCAATATAACTATTTATAACATTAACATAGTACTTGATTTCTAGCAGTTGGGAAATACTATGGAAGTGAAAGGGTTAACTTGTTTTTCCATTAGTAATGTGTTTGATAATATTTAAAAATATGTAACATTCCCTATTAGCAAAATTGATTTTGTGTGTACAAGTACCTACACCACTGAGGCTGATATGTCACTGCTGTAAGGGTGTAATTTATGGATACCTTATAATTTCTTGCATACAAATCACATATAACTATTGAAAAATTGTTGTAGTGGTTGAAAAATATTTTATCACATTGATTACACTGATAATTATGCTATGATTTGGTGCATGATCCAAACTAGAGTACTATTAGAAGCAAATAATAACTGAGCAGACTGAATATATAACTTACGTTCTTAAAAATACTTTGCGATTGACTATGCAATGTTTCTTTTTCCAATTACTTTGTGCGTACATATTTCTGTTTCTTTCCATTGTGTTCACTTTAACAGTTTAATGAAGCCTAAACTTTTCTCATGGAAGTCAAAGGATGACAGAAAATTTTAAACTGTAAAACATGGACATTGCCTAAGCTTTTTATTTGTCTAATTCTTGGATGTGGTGTTTACCTAAACTTTGAATAATAATTAAATTGAATGTAGGCTTACCTAAAATTTGAAGAATAGTTAACTTTGATATGGTGCTTACCTAAACTGAATGATAATTAAATATAAATTGAAGTATTATTATAAAAAAATATATACAACATTGTTATGGATGATATTTATTTATTTTTTACTGGAAGTTTTACCCATTAGTTGTCTACCTAGAATCTATTCATTATAGTTTATAAGCTGAAGATATTTAAATATCACACAGCTGTAGGAAAGGAGTGAATTGTAAGCAAGAAATTATAATATTTGTGACAGATTTTTATGGTTTCAAATTGAAAATTTTCTTTTCTTTAACTTTTTCATGGATTGTTTCAAACTTCTGTCAGACATGGCCTCATTGTTGTAGATACTTGTCTGTTTGATGATATTTCTTGAATAGTTCCTTATGGTTGACAGGTGTCACCTCAGGGAATGAATCAGCAGCAGGCAAAGATGGCACCTTAGTTTCTTTGGTAACTTTCTAGTTTTGATTCTTGAAAAATGAATTTTACAGCTGTCATGAAAAAGTACTTCATTGTAGGTACTTTTGAAATGAATTTCACTAAATGTTATGACACTTAACATGACATTTAACATGACGTTTAACAGTTGATTTCTGTGTAATAGTTAAAGAACTGGTTTGAAATTTTAGTAAATTAAGAAATAGCAAATTAACTGAAATGAACAAAATCTCGTTAAACTGTATTTTAAAAATATTTTTAACATCATATCAAGGTGAAATGTAGTTTTATGTTGGTAGATTTTAAAATACGAATTTTAGTTGTATAGTTACAGAAGCTCAGGTTAATTCTAATATGATGGTGGTGTAAAGTTTTAGTTTCACTGTAGGAAGTTGATTAGTATCTAACTTGCTGTTGTTTTTTTTTGTTAACTTTGCTAAGGATGGAAACATTACATTATTTTAATCCAAGGCTACTTTTCAGTGTGACATATTGTTTATAGTTACTTTAAAGCATGTTATATATATATATGGAGATTTTTTTTTATTTGCTCTTCTTTTTTCCGTTACAAACCTAAAGTATTGGGTAAATAGATTTTTCTCCTTTTTTTTACCTAAGAGAATTCTGACTGAGTCAATTAGAGAGTAACCAGGTGGGCTGTAACATCTGTCTATACAATCCTAATCACCATCATTCTGTTTAACTGGTATCCCAGTTAGGTCTTTAGTTTCATCAGTGATAAGAATTGACTGGCATTTCTATTATAAAATTGGCCAATCACACAATTTGTTGCAAAAGAAAAAATAAAATTATAAGGGTGTGGGTGCTGGGTCTATAGACAAAATAGTGCTAATAGTTTAGATCCAGGATTGCCTTGTCTGCTTTGACTTTTGTTCTAAACTGTAATTGATAAGTGAGACTTCTTTTAACTGGCTGAGTGACAGACAGCTGATCAATCACGATATATCTTTTGAAGCCAGAGTTATCTTAACACCTTGGAAATGCACAAAATCCTTAAAGTGCAATGGTGGATGATCAAAAAGTGTCAGCATAGAGGTAGGCTTTAAATCTTTTGTTATACATCTTAATGGTATGCACTTTCAACAGTTGTTTAGAATTACATAGGATAGATGGTTTTCTTTCATTGGACATTATTTTTATGTGTGAAATAATTTAGAATAAGCTAAAATTGAATAGAGGTAGACTTGATCCAATGAAAGTTGGGCAGAGTAAGTATATGACAAAATTGTTTTCTATAACTAAGGGATTTTTGTTACAAATTACAAACATATTAAGTATCATGGATTCCAAAATTCCTTTCAATCTCCTAATCAAAGGACTAAGGAACTTAAAGGCACACAAGAAATTAATCAGTACTTATCATTTTGTATACTTTTTCTTTCAAGAAAATGAATAAAGTATTCAAATGTTGGGCTTGTGATTTTTCACAGGGAAAGACCAGAATGTTATTGATGGATAGAATAAGAATTGAAAAAAAAAGTATTGGCTGAGGTTTGTGCATATACATGCATAATATTCCATATTGGCCTTTTAAAGGACTCAGTTAGTAAATGATTGGTCAGTAATTTGTCCTAGTGGAAACCAATTTGTACCACCTCAATAATTCATGAAATGACTAATTGTACTTAATTGGTCTAATCATTGCAATCATAAATACCTTGTATTTAGTATCTGCCTAAATAATTCATGAAATGACCAGTTTTTATTTCAACTGGTATTTAACTATGGTTATTGGAACATTAGTTAAACTGACAAAAGTCCAGTGTTTACTTGCTGTAAATAATTTTAATATTAAGAATTGTTTAAAATGCAACAGAGTGAAAGCATTATAGACCAGTCTGGGACCCAGAACCATCCAAAAGTTTCATTTGCTGTTCTCATCCTTGTACACATACATCTATGAAAATGTTCTTAAGAAGTATAAAAAAAAAGAACAATTGTCTGCTTCAGAAGACTTCAGTTAGACTGCTGTACTTGTCCTTTTTTATTTTCTGTGACTTGATTAGTGTTTGAATACATTGTACAGAAGTGTTATCATAGTTGTATTTATGTAGAACATACATGTCAACTAACACTATTGTTATCACTGATGATGTGGACTAAAACTATGAAGTTCGGACAGAACCAAGGATCAGCCAAAAAAAACCCTAAGGGCCTCCTTAAAAAAAAAACCAGTATGTACTTTAAAATAGAAACAAATGTGTTTTTTTAAGGATTATTTTTATTTAGTCTCCACAGCATTAAACCTTGAACTTCATGCTATGACATACTTCTTCATTTCTGTATACTTGTAAAGTTTTATTTTTCATTAAAAAAAATTGTTTAGTGTTCCAGGGGAGGAAGTGCCTCTTTTGACCTATAAGCAAGTGCCCTTGGACAGTAGTGTTTGCTTTGTTATTTTAAAATTATTCAGGACAACTTCACTTTTAATTCTGATAAGGAACTTTATAATAATATTCATTGTTAAAGAACATATCACATTTTTAAATTGAGTGCTGCTCTATAGTAATCATCACATATATTTTGATTGAATAACTTAAGGGTTAACACATGTTAAGCACAATGTTAGTAGTGTTCTGAACTTACTAATATTTGTTGAAATCTCTTATTAAGCAGACTTATTTGTTAGACACTTTATTCCATATTTATTGTGGTAGACTTTTAAAGCAACTTTAACAGTAGTAAGGTATATTCATTAATTGACTTATGATAACATTTGTTTCAGAGGGCTTTGGTTTGACACATTATATGGGAATCTACTCAAAGTTGATGCTTATGGTAACATTTTAGTGTGTGTTCATGGTTTCAAGTTTTTGAAAACGTAAGTGGTTATTTTTTTGTATGTTTAAATTCTAATTTTGAAAAATGTGCAGTACCAGTAGTAATGATAAACTGCATAATGTATCTTTTATGATAGTAATTTTTCTGGTTGTGTTAAAGGACCATCTAAGAACTTCAAAGCCTATCATTCAAATATTTCTGATGTTTTCTAAGCTGCATAATGTATCTTTTATGATAGTAATTTTTCTGGTTGTGTTAAAGGACCATCTAAGAACTTCAAAGACAGCCCCCTATCATTCAAATATTTCTGATGTTTTTCTTTAAATTAACTACATTCAAAGACAACTTGTTCTAGAGGTCAACCAGCCTGTTAGAAAAATATAGCTGTCTTAGCTAAAGATGATTTCTTCCAAGGTCAACCACTCTGTTAGAAAAATATAACTGCTTTAATGAAGATGACTTCTTCTCTGCCAAAATTTATATATTTGTGTCCTCAAGTCCTACCATTCTCATTGAACTGTGAAGTACCCCACTTGTGATATTAAACCAATTTGACTAAACTCCATTTATAACAACTCTCTGCTTTCTTCCACCTAGCCAGTTTTCTATCCGATAATTTTTCTAGCAAGCTTTTTATGTTGCACCTTGTCAAATGCTTTCTGATACATCACATCCACACTTGTATCCTCCACTACATAAGCAGTAACCTTTACAAAGAATCTCAAAAGATTAGTAAGGTAAGATTTTACCCTAGTGAAACCATGCTGACTATCCAATAAAATTTTAAACTTTGTTAAATGACTTTGCAAAATATTTTTAATCAAACTTTCAAAACTTTTCCCACCAGTGATATAAGATAAATAGGTCTATAATTACTGGAACAATTTTCATCACCTTCCTTGAAAAGAGAGGTAACATTAGCCAACTTCCAATCTTCTGGTACCTGCCTACTATTCAAGAACTTAAAAAAAATACAAGCAAGTAGCTCGCATATCCAATCCTTAACCTCTTTCAAAACCCTTGGAATACTATTATCCAAGTACTTTAATCATTCTTTAAACTTCTCAGTATTTTCTTAAGATCAGAATTTATGTGATCTTTTTCTTTCTTTTTTTTTTCATCTAGCAATCATTCAGGTTGAGGAGTATTGCTTAATCTTTATTAACAAAAATTTAAGAAAAAGTAAGAATTATTTTTGACCCACCCATCCCATAGTCATCAGATATTAGCCTTCTGGTATTGCCCCTAAAAACTGTATTCCCATCCTAATACTTGCTTACCCTTAATGTATTTGAAGAAATTTTAAATTATTTTTAACATTTTTGGCCAACCTTTTCATATAGTTCTTTTGACTTCCTAATTTCTTTCGACCAACTCTCTTGATCTTCTATAATCCTCCAAATCTCTCATCTTTGCAGTGAACTTAAACTTCTTATATTTATAATGCTTTTATTTAATATTATCCTTTGCGAGCCAACTTAGTTATTTAAAAGTACTGTTGTACCTACATTATACCTCTCTCTACATCTTATGTTTTCTTCATTATTCTGGCCCTCTCCACTGTCTAATCCTAGTTTACATTTTCTCTTACAGTAGGGTAAATAGCTCTTGCAAAAAAGCCAGCCCCTACCCTACTTAAATGTAAACCATCCATTCCAAAAAGCTCCATTTTCTCACATTGAATTGATCCCATAAACCCAACCAGTCAACCTCCTATTCCTTGCTTATTACCCTAAGCTTAGTATTCAGCCTTAATGATATACTTATAATTTCATTCCCAAAGTTAGGTCTTCGAAGTATCTCTGACAGAATTAAGTTATTGTGACGCTTTTCTTTGAATGTCTTCATTAATACCTTGTACTTAACAATTAACCCGTTATCTACCCTTCCCTACATCATTAGATCTTATGTGCACTACAAACACTGTATCAATACTAACACCCTTTACTATATCATTTGCTCTATCAGTTGTATCCTCCACCCTTGCCCCTGGGAAGCAAAACCTCTTTTTATTCCTGTTTACTCCATGTGCTGTACTAAAGAATCTCCTATAATAGTATCCTTTTATCTTTCCCTCCTAAAATTTATCAGCTACAAGCCAAAAGCTTAAGTACCAGAATTTGCTCTTTATAATTCAGTACCGTATTTTTCGGTGTATAAGATGCACTTTTTTACCCCAAAATTTGATGTCAAAATCTGCTTGCGTCTTATACACCGAAGGTATGAATAATATATATGTATATATACGATATACACAAGCCATGTATAAATATATTTAAATAGGCATGCATAGTTTAGTTCCATTGAATGTGTTATTTATAACAATAGTAGTTTTTTTCTTTTAAAAACATAACTATTTATAATGCTTCCTAAATAATAAGAAAATAAATTACAGTGAAGGCAATGAAGATTTTGTAGGTTTTGAACCAAACTAAATAACAGTAAATGTTTTTTAG